CTCTTTGCTGTTTAGCTTTGGAAATTTCTATTGACACATCTTCAAGCTCAGAGATTTCTTCCCTTAGCCGTGTCCATTCCATTAAAGACATTATTCATTTCTATATTATGTTTTGATCTCTAGCATTTATCTTTTATTCTTCCTTAGAATTTCCACCTCTTTGTTTACAGTACCCATCTGATCTTGCATGATGTATACTGAGAGTCCTTAGAATATTGGTCATAGGGGTTAGGGGCATACCTCAGTGGAAGGCCTAATGTGAGCAAGGTCCTGGGTTCAATCTCCACTGCAAAGATAAATAAATAAATAAATTAATAAATAAATAGTCATCGTTGTTTTCTGACCTGGCATTGTAGTCTGACCTGGCACAATGGTGCACACCTATAATCCCAGTTACTTGGGAGACTGAGGCAGGAAGATCACAAGTTTGAGGTCAACCTAGACAACTTAGTGAGGCCTTGTTTCAAAATAAAAAATAAAAAATGTTGAGATGTAAATCAGTGGTAGAACACCCTGGGTCCAAGTAACTCGTACTGCAAAAAAATAAAATAAATTCTGGTCTGATATTGAACATTCTTGCTAAATCTGAATTAGGGTTCTGATGTTTGTTCTGTCTCTTCAAATGATGATTTTTCTCTTTCTTTTCTTTGTCTTTTTTTCTTTTTCTGCCTTTTAATTTGCCCTGTAATTTTTTGTTGTAAGACAGACATAATGTACTGAGTGAGATGAACTACAGTAAGTAGGCTCCTTTGGTGATGTGACAGGGAAGCATCTGTAGCATGGTATGGTCCTATGATTAGGTCTCAGTGTTTTAGTGAGCCTGTGCCTTGGGGCTGTGACATCACAAGGGCTTTCAGTTTCCTGTCCTGCTATTGTGAGACAAGATGTTAAAAGGAGCCAGTTGAATATTTTCTTTCTCCCAAGGTAGTTAGGCTCTGATAAAATAGTTTGTCTTGAGGTCAGCCCTTGTTATGAGGAACAGAATGCTTTGGCATATTTTAAAACAGTTTCCTTCCCTTCTACCTCCAGAAGCTTAAGGGAATGCCCTTCTCCCCCAGTTTTCATTATAAGAATTTGTTAAAGCTCTTGTTAAGTAAAACTCACAAATTGTGTGGCCTCTTGGTGTTTTTAACTCAAACTGTCAACATTGAGCCTCCAGCAGTTTGTCATTATAGTTCAGGCTTTTCCTATGTCAACACTGATTCCTGCAGACATTTTTGCTTCTGGAATTCTGTTCCAGTAAGTTGTGAGTCTTTGCATCTGCAAAGATAATGATAATTTTGGGGAAAGCAGTTTACACTATACCTTACTGTTCTGATGGATCTAGGAAGAACAGTTGAATTTTCTGTTTGTTTAGCTTTTTACTTCTCATTAGGATAGAGTGATGATTTTTAAACTCTTTACAAGGTGGACTGAAAATGGAAGTCTCTTCTTCACTTTTGAAGGATAATTTTATTAGGTACATGATTCTAGGTTGATGGTTCTTACTTTTTAACAGTAAATAGTTCACCTTATCCTCGTCTCTGCTTAATTCTGTATGTGTAACTATGGACAACTGATTTCCTCTCTCTGGTCTCAGTTTCTTCATCTATAAAGTGAGTAGATTCTGGTGGAGAGGGTTGGAATAGATGAGCTGTGAGGGTCCTTCTAGCTCTAATATTCCTTGATTCAGTCATGCAGCTACACAGCATCAGGGCTAGATGTGCCAGCTGTACTAGTTTGTGGTTAGTGGTGTTAGCCCTTCACATGGGCTCACTTCCAATCACACCATGTTTTGCTTAAAGAAGTCACGGTAGGCAGCACTTGCGATATGCGCATCCACATTTGGCCATGCTTCAAAAAATAGATCCCAAGCCCTAAACATCCAAATAACAACAGAAGTCAGAATGCCTACAATCCAAATGCTTTGCCTATATTCAGGAAGGAAATATAAAAAGAAAAGAAACTTAAGCTGGGCTCATTGGTGTATGCCTGTAATCCCAGTGATTTGAGAGGCTGAGACAAGAGGATCATAAGTTCAAGGCCAGTCTGAACAACTTAGTAAAATTCTGTCTCTAAAATCAGGGGAGGGGGATGTAGCTCAGTAGTAAAGTGCCCCTTGGTTCAATCCCAAGTACCAAAAAAGAATGAAAAAAAAAAAAAAAAAAAGAAGGACATACCACCCTATACTATAAGCAGAAACAAATTAGAAAAGACAACCCAAAAGAAAAATATTTTTTCCCTAAGGCCTCAAGCAAAACTGAGACTAAGTGCCTGACTCCCAGACTCTTCCAGTGCATGGGTAAATAGCATCACAAGTGGGAGGCAGCCCCAGGTTCCTTTTGCAACCTTAACCCTTTAGAAAAAAAGAGGCTAAGTTAGGCACCGTGGTGCACAATTATAATCCCCCTCAGGAGGCTGAGGCAAGAGGATGGCAAGTTTGAGGCCAGCCTAGGCAATTTAGGAGACCCAATCTCAGAATAAAAAAATAAAAGGACCAGAGATGTTGCTTAATGGAAATGCACTTGCCCAGCATATGCAAGGCCCTGGTTCCATCCCCAGCACTGCAAAGGGAAAAACCAAGAGTCCATTACCATTTCATTTCTCCAGGGGATAGCACCTCCTTCTTCTGAAAACCCCTCCTCACTCCTCGAGGGAGATATGGGGGTTTATATTTGTGTAGAACCTGCCATCCATCTGTGTTGGTTAGTTGGGTGTACCTGATGGGAAGTTCTGACATCACTTTCCCCCTACTTCCTATTTCCCTTGAGGCCCACCTACATCTCTGCCCTATTGTGGTTTGGTTACAAGCCCTTCTTTTGTCTACAGAATATATTTCAGAATCCTCCTAAATGACTCCTCCTTTTGCTTAAGGATGGTTGAGATAAGTTTCTAAATGGCAGGCCAGGAGCCCAGAGAAGAGAATCTCCAAAAGTGGCAATACACAGAAAGGCCCCAGTTGAGCAGCTGAGATTTCAACCTATCTTCACTGAAAGCCTCAACTTTCAGCATTGTGTCCTGACAATGATTTGCCTGGATCTGTTCAACTATTCCCATCTTTCTCCTCCTAAATTCCAGGTCCCTGGGAGGGGAGCTTTGAGTTCTTGATAATGGAGGAGAATGTAGAATCTCAGTAACTAGTGCATTAAAGGCTTTTGACCTTAATATGTAATCAGAAGTGTGCACATTAGGTCTGGGGTTGATCCATTACAGCTGTAAAATGCCAAACTTTGTAGTTGTTTGTATAACTTAAATATCTAATGATAGTTCAGATATTTATGGCCCAGCCATCAATAGGATGCAATATGGCTATTAAATGTGATATACTAAGGATTATTTAATGACATGAAAGAGTGCCATGATATGTGAAAGCCAAGATATATAATCGAATACACTTTAGAACCTTAATTGTGTCAAGTTCAAAAATATTATGTATACATTATCAGATGACCAAAAAGAACCACAGAAAATTTTATTTTCTTGTAGCCTAAATTGTTTATAATGAACTTTTTTTTTTCTTTTTTTCTTGTGCCAGGGATCAAATCCAGGGCCTCTCACGTGCCAGGCAAGTACTTTGCCACTGTACTACATCCCAGTCTCTATGACAAGCACATTTGGTTTCTTAAATTTTGGTACATTTGGGCATAATCTTTTATATTAAATGATATGTAAAAGATCAGTACTTTAGTCATAGAGTATATTTTGCTATTTAAAAAAATCAGATTTCTTTCTCCTCTGTTAGTTCTCAGACTTTATCAGTTACATGACTAGAAGGAATGGTGAGGCCCCATTTCCTGTCATGTTCCTCCATCTAGAACATGTGTTCTCAGGCTGCCTGCATCTCTGGAATGCTCCGCCTGGCTGGCTCAGGAGGCTGCTGTTTCAAACCCCAAGGCAGAGTTGTTTTTTTAGTTGACTGTTGACTTTTAGCATCAAACTAGTATCCATCCTTTCACGTGAACTAATTTACAGTCTCCAAACCACCTGAGGTAACTGCAGGTCCTGTTTCTTGTTTTTTTCCAGGAGAGGTAGGGAGCTAGAGATAGATCGTGGGGTCCCCCAGCTGTGAGATAGCAATTAGGGAGCTGATGTCTGACAACCAGGATAGACCTTTGCCTGAATTCATGAATGTAGCTACACAGGGGTGCCAAGCACCCAGGGGAGGCGCCAAGGTCCCCAAGCTCACAATGTACAATCTCAAACACCTTTTCTTACCCAAACAGTAGGTTCTTTCCATAAAAGAGCAAACCTGTGCCTGGTGCCACAGTTCTTAATGCTTCCTCTCTATTAACTCATTTAATCTTCAGAACAACCCTGGAAATAGGTACTATTATCATCATCATCCCTCTTTCGCAGATGAGGAAACTGAAGTACAAGGAGGCTAAGTAACTTACCCAAGTGCAGACAACTGGGATGTGAAGAGACAGAGACATAAACCCTGCTTAACTGGCTGTTGAATCTAGGCCATCAACCACCCCATTCCCTTGCTTCTCAGTGCAGTGGGTTTCAGCTCTCTTCATTCCAAACCTAGTCAGAGGTGGTCAGTTGACTGTAGTGACTCATTGGCAAAATGCCCTGTCCTCTAGGTGCCCAAAGTCAGCCCCTGGGACCCCTGCTCTATACTTCTTCTTCCCCCTTCTCAACTACCAAGAGTGATTCAGGCCCTCTTGCCAGCCAGACTCTCTAAGATGTCAGTGGGCTATGGGGCTCCCCAAACCCCCACTGCTGTTGGCTCTATATTCTGAAGTAAGAAAATGTGGTTTTCTTGGTTTTTAAGAAATAAGGCTGGGTGTGGTAATGCACAAGTTTGTAATACCAATGACTTAGAAAGCTGAGACAAGAGGATAGCAAGTTCAAGGTTAGCCTGGGCAATTTAGCAAGACTGTCTCAGAATAAAAAAGAAAAAAGGGCTGTGAATATAGTTCAGTAGTAGAGTTCCCCAGGGCTCAATCCCAGTGTCATAAAAAAGAAAAAAGGAAAGAAGGCAAAGAAAGATGACAACCATCACTTTAATAGGACACTCTGCACATGTATACATATGTTATCTCTTCAAACAACCCACTTTTATTACTAGGCCCATTTTACAAAGGAGGCCAATGAGGCCGAGTGAGCTTATAAAACTAAAGTTCCTGCAGCTAAAAAAGGAATAGAAAGCACAGCAGGAACATATTCACCTTGCCCTCCTATCTCCACCCTCTATTCACACATCTAGATGGTCATCTCATTCCTAGACCCCTCATCCACTAGGCACATTTGTGGAAAACATTTTAATAATGTTATCAACTCAAATCAAGTATTTTGGGTTTGAATAGTTTTTCAAATTTGATTTCTTTGATCTTGTGGTGGAGTTTGAAGCGCCAGGAGGCGGACATTGAAGTGAAGTACTCGCGGTAAACTCTTCCGGGCCTGAGGAACCTCACTGTGTAAGGGTAAAAGAAAATGAAGTTAAAGCGTAAAAGTTAAAGGGTAAAAGACCGGTGTTGTAAAATTTCTAAGCTGCAAGGTCTGAGTTAAAATGTAAAGGATTAGGTATTGTTAGGTTTCTATGCTACCTGCAAAACCTGAAATTTCTGTAGCTGTTGAGACAATGCTTGGAACTGCCCAGTAAATATTTCCCCTGACTATTTGGTTGTTTAATAAGGGCTCTGTGTGGTCGCAAGTAGGCATTGCAGGGCCTGGACCAATCAGTTTAAATGTAACTCCCTCCTTAGGAATGACCTATCACTCCAGCCTGACCTGTTCCCGCCAATGAATGAACCAATCATGTTTAGGAGTTGTTATTCAATTTTCCCGCGCCTCATGATGATTTGTTCTGATGTATACAAAGCCCTCCGCCCTCCCCAAAAAGTGTACTTAAGCAGTGCTCAGCCCCTGCTCGGGGCTCTGGGCTGCTTTCCCTTCTTGAGTGGGCACAGAGCCCCAGCATGCTGGTTCAATAAATCCCCTTTTGCCAATTGCATGAGTGGTCACTTGGTGGTCTCTTTCTCCGACGTTTCGCGGGACCCTTACAACTGAACTGCTGAGGAGACTGGCCTTGAACTTGTGATTCTCCTGTTTCTCCCAAACTGCTAGGATTACAGGTCATTTGTGAACCTCTACTGATCCCAGTCAAGGTGGAAATCTGGCTCTGGGCTGTGGACTGGATCTGGGTGGCCTCCATGTATCTCTCATTCCTCCTTGGACCAGCCAGTGTACATTCTGCTTATGAACATAACAAAAATATAAGAGGGGAGTGGAAACATGGTAGCTTCTGATGTCCTAGTCTCAAAAGCAGCATCCCATCATTTCTATCTCATTAACTAACTCAAGTGGCAGAATCTTATCTTCAATATAAAGAAATACAAGCTTCCAGACAATCATTTTGAGGATATTAGTAAATATGAGAGAATGAACAATGAGAAGAGACAGCCTGAGGAAGACAGACAAGAGAGTCTGAGAGGAATCTGGTGTAGGGCAATCTCATTGATGATCACCACTCTTTTTTTCTTGAAGTTCCTTCAATTATTCAGATGGGTGATTCTGTAATTCAGCTACAGAATTTGTGGCACTCTGTCAATATAGCTGTGTGGAAACTTCCCTTGAATTTTTCTCCTACACAGCTCAGGGTTATGAATGACTTCAAGTGAGCTCTGCAGAGGAAATGAAGAGGAAGCCATGTTCAGCTAGGGATAACAAGAAGCTTCCCTGTCCCAGGCCTGAAGCCTCTCTAGCACCTGCCAGATATCTGTCTTATGTGACCCAGGCATAGGGCAGGGGCTGGATTTTGGAAGTCCCATGTTTCACTAAAGGTGGAGACCTAGAGGTGGATTTCCAGTACCTTTTCTTGTGTTCTGGTTTGTCTTTGCTTTCTCCTCCTTCTTGCCTGTTTCCTCCTTCACTTCATGATTGGCAGACTTCAGTCCAACACTGAAGTAACAGCCTCATACGGACTATTTAGCCAACTCCCATATGAGTGTGCTCAAATTCTATAAATAATCACTTATTCTCTATCATTCTTAGTATTTTTGTTTCTGAAGGAAAACTCTTCAGTGATGCAGGATTAGTTCCAAATTTTCTTTTCTTTCTAAGGACAAATATATGAAGAGCACATGACTTGGCATAGAAAACTATACCTTATCTCTAAGAACCAAAAAATCACGTAGTTATTTATTTGAAAAGGCAAATTGGTGAAGGGAAGAAAAAGCAGACTATCTACAACAGGACTTGACAAAGGAAAGTCTACAAGTCTGACCCACTGTCTTTTAAATAAAGTTTTATTGGGACACAGACATACCCTTTGTTCACCTATTTTCTATGACTGATTTCATGCTCTAATGGCAGAGTTGTATAGTGCAAGAGAAACTGGATAACCCACAAAGTCTAAAATATATTATCTGGCTCTTTACAGAGAGATTTTTTTTCCTATTCCTATTATAGACCTTAAAGAGAGAATTTTTTACCAGGTTTTATATTAAAATATTATTAGTTTCTATTTTAAGAAGTCTTATATTTTTAGAATTTCTCATGAAAAGTGTTTCAATAAAATGTTACGAAAAATTTGAGCCTTTATAAAATCTACTGATCTAGTTATAATGTAAGTTACCATATATTAATCATCTACTTTGTGCTAAACATGGTAAAATATAAATTATTTAAACTGCTCTATACTATAATTTTTTATAGATTAATAATCAAACACTTAAAAATCTATTAAACTTCCTAGTATAACACAAATAAAGTGACAGAACCAATCTCAAAATCCAAACTCTATTCTAAACTTTAACCTGACAGTCATCCCTATCAATACTTCCCTAATAACTAAAGTTCACCAGGCCAATACTTCAAACAAAAAAGAAATAATTAGTGTTTGATATAATGATATGCCCAAATTAAAAATGTGTCTTTTCATAGATATGAAATTACAAATGTCTTTGAAATGTTTTTACAGAGAAAATAAAAATATAATCAACAACCAGCTTTTGCAAAATGCAAGTTTAATAACAGCATCTTGAGTAAGACTCTTATTTAGCTGAATTCAACCTTTCCTGTTCATATATAATTTGAACAAGCTATAATTCTTTCAAGCTATTCAGACTTGTTACATGATTGTCCATTTTAGATATATTTGACACCTCATTTTTTAAAATGTTCTTGTAGCTATATAGCTATATTTTAGTTTTTTAAATCTCATAACAACCCCTTTAAATCCATTTTCAAACATTCTAATTAAAGGTACAATAAAAGAGTCAATCTGAATCTATGCTGCCAGATGACATAATAGCTTAAGCAATGATATGATGTATTTTGTACAATCCATCTCTGCCCTTCCCCAAGGTTAGAAAACGCTCAGTGTTGTGATGCGAAAGATTGACCTGTTCTGCTGTTATCATTATTTGAGTTTCTAAAATGTACTCTGTAAAATAAAATGTATTTCTCTTTTGTCCTTTAAAAAAAAAATTGATTTCTTATACTTCCAGTTCTATGAAATCACAAGTTCAACCATCCCTGACTCGAATTAGCCTTTTAGAGTGGTTGAGAGAGAGAGGTGAGATCATCTATGGGCAAAATATTTTGAAAGCATCAAGCAATCTGCCATTCTGTGCTATCATTTTGTCATCATCTCTATTGAGAGTGTTCTCTCATACCCTCTGGGCTGTGTGAGGAACTATTCTGTGAAGCCCTGGAACAGAACCATATCATACAACATGTTTGGTGCAGTTTAAAAGTCAAAAAAGGTACCTGGGAAAAGTTCAACAAACAACATAGTCCCAACACTAATGAAAACCCATGTGAAAGAAAGACTCACCCAATATGAAGGACTCTCATTTCTATGAGCTCCCTCTGAGTCTTTTCCACCGCAACTTAGTGAGACCCTGTTTCTAAATAAACTACAAAATAGGGCTGGGGATGTGGCTCAGTGGTTGAGAACCCCTGAGTTCAATCCCTGGTACCAAAAAAACAAAAACAAAAACAAACAAACAAAAAACTTCAAAACACAAAAAAGAATAAGGAAGAGTATTTGAATCCCTGTTAATATCAGGACCTGTCAAAACAAACCTCATCATAACACACATAGGACATCAATAGTTACAGTGAAATTTGTAGGATAACTTCCAACTAAAATTCAGAACAGAGGTGAAGAGGGTTCTGGAACACAGGCCTCCTGTCCAGTGATCACCTCCTTTAGGCTGGCCAGCCACCTCCTGGTAAGGAGGGTGCATAGAATTCTCAAAGGTTGGGCCTAGTAATAAAAGTGGGTTGTTCAGAGATAACATATGTATACATGTGCAGAGTGTGCTATTTAAGTGATGTTGTCATCTTTCTTTGCCTTCTTTCCTTTTTTCTTTTTTATGGCACTGGAGATTTAGCCCTGGGGTACTCTACTACTATGTATATGTGTGTAGCATGCTTACATTTCTGAAATCTGCTCTTATTCACTCATAACGTCTTTGATTAAAAATTATCCTAAAAGTAATGCACGCTTATTGTTCAAAGCTTAAAAAATGCAGCCGGGCGCAGTGTTGCACGCTTGTAATCCCAGCGGCTTGGGAAGTTGAGACAGAAGAATTGCGAGTTCAAAGCCAGCTTCAGCAAATGTGAGACCCAGTCTCTAAATAAACTACAAAATAGGGCTGGGGATGTGGCTCAGTGGTTGAGTACCTCTAGATTCAACCCTTAGTACCAAAAAAAAAAAAAAAAAAAAAAAAAGGGCATACATACAGAAAGGTATTTTACAAGGATGGCCATTACAGTGTCCTTCATAGAAGAAAAAAATCAGGAGGCTGAAGATGTAGCTCAGTAGGAAAGCACTTTACCTAGCCTGGATTCTGCAGAAACTGAAGGGAAAAAAGTTGGAAAACAATCTAAATACCTGATAAAGATTTCAAATGAAGTACAACAGATCTAAACTACTGGACCAAGTAACTACTCAGTCCACCAAAAATAGGTAAAAGACAGTAGAATGATTCTGACATAACTTTCCTATGAATACACCACAGTGAATCTCTGCATCATGTACAACCACAAGACTGGGATCCTAATTAGAATAAGATGTATTCCATGTTTGTATAAGTGTGTTCAAAAGATACTCTACTGTCATGTGTACTAAAAAGAACAAATTAAATAAATATTTTTAAAATGATATAGGTAAATATTTGTTAAGAGCAATAAAAAATCCATACTATATTAAGTAAAAGAACCAAGTTATAAAATAGAATGATCACATTTTTATAAAAACAATAAAAAGAAAATATGTTTGGAAAGATATAATTATTATAAGTTTCAATGATGAAAAAGTATGGCTTCTATGATTAAAAAAATATTTTAGTTTCTGAAGGCTCCAAGAAGCTTCCCACTGCCAGGCATGCCCTTGACCTTCCCTCCAGTTTGAACAGTGAAGGTAGTGGGTTTATAGCTGCACTTAGCCAAATCAGAGCACAG